TTTTAGAGCGAGGGGAGGGAAGAGGGGGGAGAGAACAGCCAAAATAGGAGGGTTATAAGGAGAATGAGTAGCTGGGGTTAGCGAAGTCGGTTAGCTAGGGGAGTTTAGGGGAGGGAGGAGGTGAGAAGAGCTGGGATGCTGGCATGGACATATGTAACGGGCTCTTGTGGTACTGAGGGAGCCCAGAGGCCAGCATGCACTTCGGTATGCTACAAACTCCAGTCATTTGTTCCTTCTGCCTTTTGAAATTTGGGGAAACGGAGTTTCCTTTATACCTGACAAATATCACATAGACAAAGATTGGCATCCTGGAATTCCTTCCACGGATACTCCAACTTGTGATGGCTCATCCTTAGTTACACATCTCACCAGAGCAAGAACCATGTAACTGCTGCTCTTGCATAAAGTACACTAACACTTACCATACAGGGAAGGTCGGCTTATTGTTATCTCCTCCTCTGTGCTCCCCTCAGGCTGCTTAGCCTCGGTTACATGCCTGTCTAACCATAGCCAGAACCACACACGCACTCGTCCCAACTCCTCTTTGGAGCTGCATAGCCATGTTTCATGCCAAATGTTGTGTCACAGACTTTTCCTGGGAAGACACGGCACAAAGGCATCGCCAATCAGAACAAGAACCCACAAAAGACCAAAGTAATGACAGCACCAAGGTCTGACCTGGTGAACCAGCAGGAGAATGGGTCAGGGTTATTTACAACCAGGAACAGAGATGACTCAAAAGCAGGTCTGAGTCACTTCTCACAGCCGGGGTTCGCGCCCTCCCCAGCCGTTGACTCCTTTTGTAAAGCTAAGGGGACTTCAGGAATCTCCCATGTTTCTGGCCTTTTGTTTTCAACAGGCCTAGCCAAAGTGAAGATATTCTAGAGAGGCTCCTGTATCTCTCAATCTATCAGATTATGGCAATAATGGACCCCAAAGTTCCCTAGGAATCTCACGCTGGGCAAAACCAGAGGGGAAAGTTCTCTTCTGGAAAGAAATTTCACAGTTCTAACTTGTCAGACCGCTGAGACTGAAGCCCAAGACGGTGATGATGGGTCTGTGGTGGGCGGAGCCACACATTGGCCCGGTCTGCCTAGATGTGAATATCCTTGTCCCTTTATTTAACTTTGATCTCACTTCAGGACTTGGGTGGTTCCTTCCCTGAATCTCTTTGTCCCCCTTCTGAAAGTGCCAACATTGAATAAATCTTTTTCTGCTTTCTATTTTTTTTTTTAAGATTTATTTATTTTTACCTGTATGGATGTCTTGGCTGCATATATGTATGTGCACCACATGCATGCCCAGAGGTCCACGGTGATCTCTCCTTGGGGATCGCTCCTTCCCTCAGACCTTCACCTTCGTGGCACCCTAGCACTCACCCACATGCACACATTTTTTTTTAAATATAGTCTCACACTCTCCTAACTGGCCTTTGATTATGTAGACCAGACTACCTGTCTCTGCTTCCAGAGTGTTGGGATTAAAGGCGTTCGCCAGCACGCCTGGTCATAAATGTAATTTTTTTAAATCCATAAATGAATAGCCGGTGCTCTGCAGCCCCGGGGTAATCGGATAATCCCACCACTTGAAGATTACAAGGCGAGTCAGAAGTTCAGAGTCATCCTCAGCAATATAATGAGTTCATGGCCAAATTGGGCTACAACAACAACAAACTTCTCAAAAATCAATTAATCAAAGCTTTAAAATGACGAATCAGCTCTTTTTGAAAGCGCAGCCGCCAAGCCTGGGCGGTGGCAAGTTAGCACTTCCGGGAGGGAGGGGCCTGGCAGCCATCTCAGATTGGGCCCCGCCGAGTGGGCGGGGCTTTTCCAGCTCGACGGGCCGGAATGGGTCTGCCTGCAGGACTCTCAGCCAATCAAGATGGCGGAAGTGCCTCGCCCCGCCTCGCGCAGGCGCCTTCGCTCCGCGGAGGCGGGCGCTCCGCGGGTTCTCGGGCCGGGTGTGCTTCCGGGCTGGTGGCGGCGTGACGTCAGGAGGAGGGCAGGTAGGTACGGGGTGCGGACCGGTCCGCGGCGGCGACGGGGGTGGCAGGACCTCGATCCCACCCCTGCGGCTTGGCGCGGGCGATGCGAGACCTGCGGACGCGAGCGGGTTCCCAGGGCCCCTAGCCGTCTTCCTGCAGAAGATGAGCCCTCCAAGCCCAAGTGTGGAGCATGGTGCTTAGGAACAGTAGCTTGAGGGCCGGCGAGGTGGCTTAGCTAGCAGTGGCGCTTGCGGCCAAGGCTGACGACATGAGTTCGACCCCCGAGCATGGTGAAAAAAGTCGATTCTTGTGGGGTGTTGTCTGACCTGCACACACTTTGTGGCACGCTCCCCCAACACACACAAAAGAAATGAATGTAATTTTTAAGGGGCTGGAGAGATGGCTTAACGGTTAAAGCTTGTACTGCTCTTGCAAAGGACTGGGGTTCAGTTCCCAAAGCTCACATCTGCCTGTAGCACCAGAGAATCCAACCCTCTTGCACTCACTCGTTCATAAACACATACACATAACTTAGTAATTTTTACAGTTGTTAGTAGGTAGGAGAAAGAGCTGAAATCGTCCTTGCTCTTTGTCCCATGCAAGATTTCTTCTCAATGCTTAACACCTGCGACGACTTCCAATTGCAGCCATGACAGCTGCGTCCTTTAGAAAACTACTTCTTTTCCACATGAGGAAACCGAAGGTCAGCGGTAGCGGCTGGCCCGGAGTCAGGCAGCTGGGAAGCAGCAGGGGAGACTGATAGGCTTGCTCAGGCAGGTCAGGAATGCCTGATGACCTCATCCCTGTGCATACACCTGAGCAGCCTGCATGTAACCTGGCTGTGGAACTGTGACTAACCATCTTAAGGCTTCGGAAGCCGAGGCTGGGGGATCTGAAGTACAAAGCTAGCCTGGACTACATAGAGGGGCGTGTCTCCCAAAACATTCTAAAACGGACCCCAAGCCCACACTGATTCACAAGCTAGGTGTCTACACTTACTTCATTACAGCAAGCTCCAAAGTCATTCCTCCTGTCAGGACCCCCATTTTCCTTCTTTTGTTTGTTTTGTTTTTGCTCTTTGAGATGGGGTCTCACTGTGTAGTTCTGACTGGCCTGGACCTGCTGTGTAGATCAGATTGGCCTGGAACTCAATCTGTACTCCTGGTTCTGCCCCCTGAGTTTGTGAGGCATGCGCCATCACGCCCTGGACCTTATTCCCTCCTGACAGGTGAAGAAGTGGGAGCTCCAGGAAAGTCAGAGACCCAGGCAGCCGGGACCCCAGACCTGGCGGGACCCCAGACCTGGCGGGCACTTAAGTACTTGGCCATCGAAAGTATTTGGGTGAGGGGGCAGCAAGATGGCTCAGTAGATGAGGACACTTGCTGCCGCCCGGCCTGACAACCTGAATTCCATCTCTGGACCCACTCGGTGGAAGGAGCGAACTGCCTCCTCCAGGTTGTCCTCTGACCGGCACAAACTGTGACGCATTCGTACCTGGACACACACAATGATTTTTTTAACTTAGGGGTGGAAAGATGGTTCAGCAGTTAAGAGACATACTGCTTTTCTAAAGGTTCTGAGTTCAGTTCCCAGATGACTCACTGCTGCCTGTAGCTCCAGCTCCAGGGAATCTGCCATCCTCTCCTAGACTCTGTGGGTATGTGCGCACACACACAAAATTTAAAATAAATAAATCTTTTTTTAAAAAAAAATTCTCAAGCCAGGCAGTGGTGACACACACTTTTAATCCCAGGAGACAGAGGTGGCAAATCTCTGAGTTTGAGACCAGTCTGGTCTACATAGTGAGTCCAGGACAGCCAGCACTCCCTGTCTTGAAAACCCCAAAAAAGAAAGAAAAAAAATTTTTTTTTTTACATTTTATCTATTCATCTTGTATGCGTTCGTGTGCAGGGTATATGTCATGGCACATGTGTAGATCAAGTCTGTTCTCCCTTCCACCATGTGGGCCCCAGTTTTCAGGTTTTAAGTGGTTGGGGAGCTACATCTCAGCCTTTTGGTTAATCTAAGATCAAGTGTAAATCATTGAGCATCTCAGAAGACAGGTTACACTTACGTGTAATTCAGACTTACCAATAAAAATAAGATTGGGAGCCAGAATGGTGGCTCAGGGTGTCATAGTAGCTGCCACACAATCCTGGAAGCCTAAAACCCTGGTAAGTTTGAAAGGACACAAAGTTGTCCTCTGGCCTGCACTTACGCGTGTTATACACACACACACAATAATAAAATTTTTTAAGAAATTGGTTTTCAGCTGGGCGGTGGTGGCGCACGCCTTTAATCCCAGCACTTGGGAGGCAGAGGCAAGCGGATGTCTGTGAGTTCGAGGCCAGCCTGGTCTCCAAAGCGAGTTCCAGGCAAGGTACAAAGCTACACAGAGAAACCCTGTCTCGAAAAACCAAAAAAAAAAAAAAAGAAAGAAAGAAAAGAAATTGGTTTTCCCAAGGCCAATCTTTTGCCTGATATCCATACGTGCTTTTAGCCTAGGGCAGTTGAGCACAGATATTGTGTGGTAAGAAGACAGAAATGTGTGTTATCCATCTGTCAGTTTTACCTGCCTGTGTTCACTCTAGAGCACCCCTCCTCCCCAACGCAGCTGTCCCCTCCCCCAGTTCTGACAGTTCTCTAACTTGCATGAGTCTCTGCTGCTCGCCCAGTTAGCATTTATTTCAAGACTGGGTCTCCTGTAGCCCTGACTGACTTTGAACTTGATCCTCCCGCTTCCACTGTCTGAGTGCTAAGATTACAAGCATGTTCCACCACATGTGATTTGTGCAATTGGTAGAACCCAGAGCTTCCTGCATGCTAAACAATGCTATACTAACTAAGCCACATTCCTATCCCTTTTTTGTTTGTTTGGTTTTTCGAGACAGGGTTTCTCTGTGTAACCCTGGCTGCTCTGGAACTCACTCTGTAGACCAGGCTGCCTCTTCCTCCTGAGTGCTGGGATTAAAGGTGTGTGCCACCACTACCTGGCTCTTATTTTTATTTTTTATAAACTTACTTATTTTGCAGTGCTGGGGATGGAACCCAGGATCTTCTGCATGCTAAGCAAGCACTGTCCCCATGAGCTAGATCCCTAAACTGTTTTAGTTTTATTTTGACATTGCCCAGTATATTGCCCGTGCTGGTCTTCAATTTGGACTCCTCCTATCTCAATCCTGTTATCCTTAGTAGCTGGGGTTATAAGAATTACACCTGGCTCCAAGAAGTGACTTTAGATTGGGTGATTGGATGAGGCCTCTGGCATTCAAGAGAAACAACAAAAACTACATCTTTGGACCTAGGGCTAGGCCAGTGCTCGGGCCAGTGCTTAGAGTCCTCCAGTTAGGGAGGAGGGCTGTGGCTCAGTAGTGGAGCCCCTGCTTAGAATCCTCCAGTTAGGGAGGAGGGCTGTGGCTCAGTAGTGGAGCCCCTGCCTAGAATCCCCCAGTGAGGGGCAGGGAAGTGGGTCAGTGGTAGAGTGCTGTCTTGGCCTTTGGGAGGCTCTGAGTCCATCCCAGCAGTTCAGGAACAGTTTGGTTGCCTTGGCCTTTGCGACAGCCAGGAACAGAGAGAAGAGAGGGGTGAGCGACCTCCCAAGGCTGGGAGGCAGTAGGGCCTGTAGGTTTGATTATAAACTAGACTGGGAGCCTCTGGAGGCCAGGGCATCATGACACAGTAGCACATACTATGAGAGACCCCTGCTGGGCCTGGGAGACTGTTCATGACTTTCTACCAAGCTTACAGTCTGAGTTTGCTGAAAACTTGAAGTGGGAAAAGAGAGAACTGACTCCTACAAGTTGTCCTCTGACATGCTTAACATGCCATGTACATACACATACAGGCACATAAAATAAATAATTTAGGATGTAAATTGAAAAGGAGCCCCTTGCAGCTTCTGCATCAGGAGCAGGGCAGGCAGTAGGAATGGAGGCCTGGGTTAGGACACAGACCACCATCCCTGCTTGGTCACACCAGCATAGAGTCTGGAGCCACATGGTTCTCTTACTGCCTTTCTACCTGTCTCCCTCCAGGCTGTCCTTGGATGCCCGTGTACCCTGTGGAGGCTCAATGCCAGGTCATAACTCAGCCACTGTGAACTTCAGGACATAGGAAGAGCCGAGCCAGACCACCACACAGCCACATCTTTACAGGGCAGCTTGTGGCCTCTGCAGCTCCACAGGAGGATACACCCCACCCCTGCATGCATTGACCAGGCCACTTTCCCAGTTACAGCCTTGTTCGTGACGACCTGTAGGCAGCTCCCAAGATGGTGAGTAAAAGATTCTCAAGCCTGGGTTACTCCTAGGTGCCAGCACAGCCTCCAGGCAGCCCTGCCCTCTCAGGCTCTTGTGTGGTAGCTAGTGACTGTTGTGCATAGTGGTTGCAGATCTTTGCTGGGCACTCAGACCACCACCCAACAAGTCCTCTCCCATCTCGATCTTGCTCCCTCCTTGCCCCTCCCTTTCGGATGCCATTTAGCTGAAGATTATCTTAAACTCCCGACCCTTCTGCCTCAGAGATCAATCATATCCAAGTTCTGGGATTATGCCTGTTGCATCAGAGCTGGGGATGAAGCCAGGGCCTCATGCTTGCTGGGCAGGCACACTGCTGCTGAGCCGCATCCCCAGCCTTGCATTAGCCGCTGTGAAGTGTGGGAGGTGTTCCTGCCCACTCCTCCTTCAGTGCAGTTCCAGAGAGTGTCACCCTGAAAAGGAGGCCCTGCACTGCTAAGCTAAGCAGTCACTCTTGAAAATGTGTAGTAATTGTACGTTTGTCTGTTTACTGTAGAGTGGGTGCACGTGCATGTATGATCAGCTTCGGGGAGCAGGCTCTCCCACCATGCGGGCTCCAGGTTTCACATTCAGGTCCTCAGGCTTGCTGGCAGACACCTTCACCCCCCATCTCCTCAGCCCTAAGTAGTCACCCTTTGTCCTTCCCTCCTCACCATCCCGAGAGCCACTCTTGTGCCCCCAGACTCGGAATCTCCCTGCCATGAGCATGTGTGCCGTCCTGTCTGGTCTCCCAGTCAGCATGATGTGTTCAAGGTTGTTCCATGAACTGTGCCCAAGGCAGGGCTGGTCTCAGGACTCTAGGCAAGTGCTTACCACTAAGTTACGTCCACAGCACTGGACCAGGATTTTGTTGTTGTTGTTGTTGTTTATTTTTGAGATTGTATTTTAATTACATTTCTCCCTTCCCTTTCTTCCTCCAAATTCTCTCATATATCCTTCCCAGCTTGCCTTCACCTTCATGGCCACTTTTTTCATCCCTCTTTCTTACATGTGTATATGTATTTGTATATACATGTGTATTCCCAAATATAACCTGTTGAGTTCTTACAATGTCACGTGTGTGTATATTTCCAGCGTTGACCATTTGGCTGGACAACCCATTGGTGTGTTTCTCCTCGGGGAAGGCTTCCTCTCCTGCTCTTGGTTTCCCTCAGTTACCTGTAGTTCTTTGTGTAGGGTGGAGGCCTCATGGTCTCTCCCTGCTTTGGCATGTCTGTGGTGTCCTTGTTCAGCTCACATTTGGGTGATTGTGTTGGTTTACAGGTATAACTTCTGATGTTGTTAAGAGACACAATCTCACAGCAAAGTCCCTGATCCTCTGGGTCTTACAGTCTTCCTGTTCCCTCTTCCACAGAGTCCCCAGAGCCTTAGGTGTGGGAGTGTTTTGTAGATGTGACCACTGGGTTGTGGTTTTCTGTGGTGGTCTCTGTCTGTTGCAAAGAAAAGTTTCCTGGATGATGGGTCAAGACCAGCAGTTCTCAACCTGTGGGTTGAGACCCTTTGAGGGTAACATATCAGATATCCTGCATTTCAGATATTTACATTATGATTCATAACAGTAGCAAAATTACAGTTATGAAGTAGCAACAAAATAATTTTATGGTTGGGGGTCACCACAGCATGTGGAACTGTATCAAAGGGCCTAGCCTAAGGTCTGGCTTCCATCCCTAGCACCCCATAAACCAGGTGTGTGCACGTCTATAATACCAGCCTTGGGAGGTGAAGCCAGGAGGGTCATGGCCACCCTCAGCTACATAGCAACATTGGGAAAGTTGAGAACCCTGGAGGAGGATGTGGGAAGTCTGGTGTGGAGTGAGGTGCTATAGGCAACACAGCTCAGCTGGTCGGCGTTCTGGTCAGTTGCTCCTCCTGATAACTGTTTGAAGCGTTCCACAGTGAAGAACAAGTCCTGGCTCTGAACAGCCCAGCACAGCCACCATGTCAGAGTGGACCTTCTGCCGGGACCCAGGTTTTGAGACCAGCTTGACAGCCCTAGCTTGGGGGAGGGGTGTCTTTAAATGTATTTCATGGGCTGGAGAGATGGCTCAGAGGTTAAGAGCACTGACTGCACTTCCAGAGGTCCTGAGTTCAATTCCCAGCAACCACATGGTGGCTCACAACCATCTGTAATGAGATCTGGCGCCCTCTTCTGTATACATAATAAATAAATAAATTTTAAAAAAAAGTAAATGTATTTCATGGGTGGCCTAAGAGAAATGCTAGTAGGGCATTGTGCCATACCCCTGTAATACCAGCTCTCGCAATGCTGAGGCAGGAGGATTGCCTTGAATTTGATGCTAGCCTGGGCTATGGAATGAAATTCTGTCTCAAAAAAAAGGTAGAAATGGGCTGTAACTCAGTTGGTGGAGTACTTGTATAGCGTAAGGTCTGGATTCCATCTCCACTCTTCCATAAACTAGGTGTGGTGCATGTCCATAATACCAGCCTTGGAGGTGAAGGCAGCAGCAGGGTCATGGCCAGCCTCAGCTACATAACAAGTTTATGACCAGCTGGGCTACTTGAAACACTGTTTAAAAAAAAAAAAAGACAAACCATTAGGAGTCAGTGGCCATCCCCACTTCTTTACTATTGCCTACAGTCCCCCAAAACATGCAGCCACTCCTGTAAGACAGTGTGGCCTTAAGGAACTCCCAAAGCTATAACAGTTGGTTTTCCAGCCAAGCTGCCCCTGTAGATCAGACACTGGATAGAACTTTCAGCATGTCCCCAGGTCCTGCATTGTCCTCTCTCACTCATGCTTCCCCTCTGTTTTCAGGGTGAAAGGAAAGGCCAAAACAAGTACTATCCCCCAGACTTCAACCCCGAGAAGGTAAGCAGCTTCCCACAACCCCCACAGCCTCAGGGACCAAGTGTCACAAGTCACCTAGAGACGACTCCATGCCCCTGCAGATGTGTGCGGGCTCTGCCCAGTTACCATGCCACTGTATGTAAAGTCCTGCTGTAGACTCTGGTGTCCCTGGGGGCTTCTGGAACTGCTTCCTTCAGATACCAAGGACAACTCTGTCCCTGGCTCCAAACTGTGTACCTTACCAAGAGCTCCACACCTCCCATGTTGCTTGTAGGATGTCAGACTGAAGCCCCTTCCACCCAGGGGGGCACTTGTCCCCCAGAAGGAGGAACAGCAAGGGAACAAGCTGCCCCAGTTTGGCCTTGCCACCTTCACTCACCCTTTCCATACAGCATGGCTCTCTCAACCGATACCACAACAGCCACCCCCTTCGAGAACGGGCTCGGAAGCTGTCACAAGGCATCCTTGTCATTCGGTAAGAAACTATCCACCCCCTCTCCCAAGACCTCCACCTTGCATCGATCTCATGTCCCCGATTGATTGGCCCAGTGCTGCCAGGTTCTAATCCATAAAGCAGGAAGACATTGCATCAGTCAGCTATTGCTGCGTAACAAAACAGTAAGTATTTGTTATTGACAACAAGTCTGGTGCTTCTTCTGGACTTGGAAGGACCTGACTAGGCCTTCTTTCTTCAGAGTAGGGGCTTGGTAGCTGAAGACCAATTGGTCCAGTGGGCCTTGGCCTGTATAGATAGGCTTTCCATAGTGGGTCTCTCTTCCAGCAAACCAGCAGTATCATGGCTCCAAAAGAATGACCAAAAGTGCCAGGACTCTGAAGGCCAAGACCCAGACCTGTCACACTTGTCCCTTCTTCCCCTTCAGTTGCCCAATATGGATCCTGACTCCAGGGCTGGGGCCAGACTCTTGTTTTGCATGGGACAAGCCACAGAGTGATGTACAAGGACATGACCACAGAAGGAAGAGTGGCCAGCCAGGACCTCCAGATACTAGATGGCCTGAGGCAGGGGGATCACTGAGTCCAGGAGTTTAAGAATAGCCTGGATAGCATAGCCAGAATATAGCTTAAGAAGAAAGGGAGCAGCATGGCTCAGTGGGGGAAGGCATTTGTTGCCTAGCCAGACACCTGAATTCAGTCCCTAGAACCCACGCAGTGGAAGGAAAGAACCAGCTCATGACTCTCGTCTTCTGACTGCCACACATACAACGGATAAATAAGTAAACAATGAAAACTCTTGTCTTTTCTCTAGGTTTGAAATGCCATACAACATCTGGTGTGATGGCTGCAAGAACCACATCGGCATGGGTGAGTTCTCCACCACCCTGCCTGCCCCTTCAGCCCCTCTGTGCCAGGTGCTGTGAGACCCCGAGACACCGTCACCTCCAAGGCCACAGAGAAACCCTATCTCAAAAAAACAAGCAAACGAGTGAGAGACAAATGGCACGGGACACATGGGGCACCCCTCCAGGAGCTGGGCCCTCTCCAGCTGCCCAAGAGCCGTAGTGCCTTGTGAGGCCTCATTCTATAGAACCTTTACTCATAGCCCAGCAAGGCCTGCCATTGAGCCTTCTCTTGGAATTGCTCATCCTGGGCAGGGGCAGGACCTCTCTGCAGTGAGCAGGGTCTCAGGACCTGCCCCTAGGTAAGGGCAGGGCAGGGAAGCAAGGGCAGATACTGCTATGGTAGGCTATGGGGCAGAGACAGTGTCATGCCTGTGGCCCACGCCCGGGCTAGCTAGGAGCCAGGAAGTGGGCATGGCAGCCAGATGCACAATGCTGGGGACAAGGTGGCTGTGGAAGGGAAGGGCGAGTGAGGCCTGTGCTGTCAAGGGAAGTGAGGGAGCCCCACGGGCACTTAGACTGTGTGAACAGAGCCTGGCCCAGGGCATGCTCAAGACCCTGAATCCTGTCCCCAGCACTGAACAGTCCCGCTGAACAGTGGGAACTGAACCACCCCCATGCCTCATGGCCACCCTCCAGGCGAAATTAAAGCAGCTGCCCCAGAGAAGGAAACAGCCAGGTCACGCCATCAGTTGCACCCAGGCTCAGCTGTTGTCGCCAGGCTCTGTCACTCAAGGACTGTGTCACCTCCCAGGAAAAATGGACATCCATGAAAGGAGTGCCAAAAGCTGAGTTTACACGCACTCAGGCAGTAGGTCTTTCCTTATTTGCAACAGGGTCTGACTATGTCACCCAGGCATACTTCACCTTGCCTCTGCCTCCCAAGTGCTGGGTCTCAGGTGTACCCCCAAATCCAGCTCTCCATTGACATTTATTCCCAGAGCCCTGTGTGTCAGAATTACAGTCATCTCTGTTGACTAGATGGGAAACTGAGGCCCAGAGGGTTGAGGCACCTTGAGTAGGGATACACAGTGAAAGCAGGGTTGGAAGCTGAGCCTTCCTGTTCCAGTCCACACTTTCCTATGGCCTAGGTACTCCTGTGCCTCCCAAACGTCACTCTCCTGCCTTGAATTTCTGTGCCCTTCCTTCCGGGGCACCTGCCCTGCCAGACAACCAGTCACCAGCTTGTTCCCACCCAGAGCAAAGCTGTCGCAGGTGCCTTGGTCCCAGCCTCTCTCCCACCCTCTCAGGTGTGCGCTACAATGCAGAAAAGAAGAAGGTTGGCAATTACTACACAACTCCAATCTACAGGTAGGAGCGTCTGCTGGTACCTTAGGACAGGCCTGCTGGCACAGGTTGAAGGAAGGGGAAGAGAACTTGGCATCTTCCCCCAGAGCCGTTCTCTGTATAACCGTCCATCTTGGCCTGTCAATCAGGGCTTGTCCCTACCTCCTCAACTCTTCATGGCTCCCACCTTCCCCAGGAAAAGCTCAGGCCCCTCATTCACTCTGCTTCAGGCCGTGCAGCCTCTGCCCCCTCCACACAGGAAGGTAAATGGCCCCACCCCTGCGCTGCGCACACACCACCTTCAAAGAGACCTTTTCTAAAGCCGTTGCCTGTTACGTGGTCACTTTTCTTGCTGGCACGTGCTCATCTCCGGCGCGTAGCCCCTCCCACAGCAGACTGTCTACTCCACTGACTAGCAACATCCCCAGCTGCTGGTACCAGCCTGGCATAGAATAGCCAATAGGAGGGAGGGATGGGGGAGGTAGGGGAGAGTGGGAGGAGGGGAGGGAGGGAGAACAGGGGTTGGCATATAAAATGAAAAAGAAAAATTTTAAAAGAAAGAGGAGTGGGTGGGAGGGTGGGAGGGAGGATGCCCAGGTGGGTGACTAGTTGAGTGGGAGAGTGACTAGGTAGAGGATGGATAAATGGGTGAATGATTGGTGGGTGGATTAATAGGTAGGTGGATAGATCTATAGATGCATAGATGGACCAATGGACAGGTAAGTGGATGGATGGATTAGTAGGTAGATGGACAGACATGTAGGGGGATAAATGGGTGGGTGGGTGGATGGACTGATGGGGTGTGAGTGAACTGATGGAGTGGTGGATAGGTAGATGAGAAATGGGCAGATGAGTGAGAGCAGCTTTAGTGTCTGGGTGGTTGGTATGGAGACAGTCTGACTGTGTGGCCTAGGGAGTGTTGGGATCACAAGTGGGTGCCACCGCACCCTGCACCAGATGTTGGCCAACACTGGAGCATGCTGAGCAGGCCCTGTACTTTGGACCCCCACCCCCTTCTTCAGCCTCTTGGTTGCTCCGTCTGGATGCAAGCCTGCGTGTCTTCCTTGGGGTGACTGCTGGGTGCAGTAGGTGCTGAGTGATTCCTTCAAGAGTGTGGTACACCAAAGGAAGTGGGCAATGGTTCCCATGATAGGACCACTGCATCCTAACTCCAGTTCCTCTCCAGGTTCCGGATGAAATGCCACCTTTGTGTCAACTACATCGAGATGCAAACAGACCCTGCGAACTGTGACTATGTCATCGTGAGTGGTGCCAGTCGCAAGGAGGAGCGTTGGGATATGGAAGACAATGAGCAGGTGCTGACCACAGGTGAGCACCACCTGCTTGCCCATCCCACATGACCCCAGGTGCTTCCCCAGAGTCATGCTTACGTGGTCCTTGCAGAGCATGAGAAGAAAGAGAAACTGGAGACAGACGCCATGTTCCGCCTGGAGCATGGCGAGGCTGACCGTAGCACACTGAAGAAGGCCCTCCCCACGCTCAGTCACATCCAGGAGGCACAGAACGTCTGGAAGGATGACTTCGCTCTGAATAGCATGCTCCGCAGGCACTTTCGGGTGAGGGGGCTCCACAGTGGACATCAGCGCACTCAAACCTGTGTCCCACATCCCACTTGCAAGCTGGTCATTTCCCCTCTGAGCCCCAGGCTCCCTGTGTACAGCAAGCACATAGTCATGCTCCTGCCTCATTTCTTCCTGCTATTATAACATTCCACTGACTGAGAAGTTTATATACTAAAAATGTATTATTCGCTGCTATACAAGCTGGGAGTCTAGCATTAAGACATCTACAAACTGACTCTGTACAGAGTGCCTGGTCGGGTTCCTCAGAACTTCCTGCTGGGTCCTCAAGGGACAGACAGGACACACAGGCTCCTTATGGACTCCTGTGTAAGGCACTGATCCCGTGATGAAGGCGAGCCCTCACAACCTGGTCACCTGCCCAAATCCTCATGTGGTCAGCCATCACACAGCGAACTAAGTTTCAACATAAGCAGGGAGCCAGTTTTGATGATACCTGTCTGTGGTTACAGCCACTCGGGGGACTGAAAATGGGAGGCTCCCAAAAGCCCAGGAGTTGGAGACTAACCTCAAAAACAGAAAGCTGGGCCTGGTGACTCATGCTTATAACCACAATGCTCAGGAAGCTGAGGCAAGGGTACTACTTCAAGTTCCAGGTCCGTCTGTGTTGCAGAGGGAGACCTTACCCCCCGCCTCCAAAAATGAGAGGCAGGTAGAAAAAATTCTAGAACCTCAGCATTGGTAGTGTGGCCAGGCTTAAGTGTGGCATTAAATTCCCTGTCTCCTGTGTGAACCTCCCAAGTCCTGGGATCACAGGCATGGGCCACCCTACCTTCTTTACCATCTTATGGAATTTATCTAGTGGGTCACACCCACAGCCCATCATTGATCAAAGTGTGTTGTAGCACATGGCCATCGTTTTGGCATGAATGCATGAGGGACAGAATGCAGGACACTGACATGACCCCCTCCACTTGGGTCCCCTTTTGCATCACGGGTACTGTATGGGCCCTTCCCTTGCTTCAGTGTCAAGGGAGAAACTGAAACCCAGTGCCAGGAGTGAGACCTGTGGGTCTCAAGGAAGCAGGGTTCTGATCTCCCTCCCTGTGTGTCACACCCACCCACAGGAAAAGAAGAAAGCCATGCAGGAGGAGGAAGAGAAGGACCAGGCACTGCAGGCGAAGGCCAGCCTAGCCATCCCTCTCGTGCCAGAGTCAGAGGACGACCGGAGGCTGGCCGCCCTGCTAAGGTTGCACACGCTGGACTGTGAGTGGTGGCACTGGGCCAGGAGGTCCATGGGAGGCAGAGGTTGCATGCAGGGTTTGGGGCTCCTGGTCCCTAAGGGGCCCTGTTGCTCACAGTGGTGGGGAGAAAGCTCAAGGCTTGGGTCTGGTCTACGCACACTCTGCCCCTGAACCTGAGACCCTGTACAGAAAAGTAACCCTTCTTCCCCACAGCCTATGAAGACAAACAGAAACTGAAGCGCACAGAGATCATTCACCGCTCTTGGTTCCCCTCGGCCCAGGGACCCAGTGCTAGCAGCAGCAAAGCTAGCAATGTCCTAAAGAAGCTGTGCCAGGGCCGCAGACCAACCCCTAGCACCACAGGCACAGTGGGGGACCTGGGCATAGTGAGGAGAAGGTCTCGAGAAGTTCCAGGAAGCCCCCAGAGTGCAGCAGACGGTCCCTTGCCAGCAGAACCAAGAGGGCCACCAGGAGCCACCCAGGACAGCCCTCAAGAGACAGCAGCGGCCCCTAGGACCAGCAAGACACCAGAATCCAAGAGGAACTGTAGAGAGCAGGCCTTACCCCTAGGTTCCTCCCAGGAAGACCTACTGCACCCCAGTACCCCCAGTGCCTCCCTGGTGGCTGACTACTCAGACTCAGAGAGCGAGTGAGGGAGTCAGAATTCCGAGGACCGGAAGCCAGGACCAGGACTCAGCCAGACCTTATGGACTGCAGGCCCCGCTGCTGCCCGCCCAGCCACAGCCTTCTCTCCCTCTACAGATCATTATTTATTTAGTCTTGGTGAGGATGTCTGTGCCTTGGGGTAACCGCTGACACCCTAACATTAAAGCCCTGTTCTTTGTCCCTGACTTGGGTTGCCAAAGTCACCTAGTAGCCATCCCGCCTTCACTTCCACCAACTGAGCCGATGCTGCTACAGCCGCTGTGGTGACAACAGTGTCCCCACAGGACAGGATCAAGGTTGGCCATGGCCGCCATGCAGTGGCGGTGCGGCAGCAGCGAATACCTTTGATCCTGGCACTCAGGAGGCAGAGGCAGGTGGATCTGAGTTCGAGGCCAGCCTGGGCTTCATAGTGAGTTCCAGGTCAGCCAAGGCTACACAGAGAAACGCTGTCTTGGAAAATAAAAACAAAGCCGGGCCACGGTGGCGCACGCCTTTAATCCCAGCACTCGGGAGGCAGAGCCAGACGGATCTCTGAGTTCGAGGCCAGCCTGGTCTACAGAGCGAGACCCAGGACAGGCACCAAAACTACACACAGAAACCCTTTTTCAAAAAAGAAAAAAAACAAAAGATTGGTCATGGCCTGGGGTGGCCTCCTGTATGAGGTAGCAGGGACTACATAGGAAGGTTAAAAGAGGGCCAGGCTGCTGGAGCCACAGAAATAATACTAGGGGTAGGCAGGAAGGACATCCAGCCTGCAGGCCATAGGCTGGTATGAGCCACTCATGATGACCCAACCAGGAGGGGTGCTTGTGAAACAACCACCAAAAATGCTCTGGTCCCACCAGTGGTGGCACACGCCTGTACTCCTGGCACCACAGCAGCAGAGTCAAGGTATGGTCCAGTCCAACCTGGGCTAAGTAGAGAAATCCTTGTTTTGCTTTTTTAAGATAGGGTTTTGCTATACCTGGCTGTTCTGGAACTCACTATGTAGACTAGGGGAACTCAGACTCACAGAGCTCTGCCTCTCAAGTGCTGAAATTAAAGTCTAAGATTTATTTTTAATTAAGCGTTTGTATGTACGAGTATGTTGCCCCAGTGAGGTCTGAAGAGGACCCCTGTAACTGGAGGTAGAGCCAGCTGTGAAGCCACCTGGGAAACGAACTCTGGTCCTGTGCAAGAGCAGCAGTATGCACTCTTAACTACTGAGCAATCTCTTCAGCCCCTAATAATAAAGGTTCCTCATAGTACTTGTTTTTAAAGAAATGGGGCTAGAAGTAGTCCGAGGAAGGTCGTTTGACTCAGTGATTAAGGTTGTCTGTGAACCTGAGGAGGCTGCCGAGTTATCGCTTCTGTAACGGATGAACAGGTCTCGGCAAAAACGACCCCATCACCGACTACCTTAGCGTTCCCAACTTGGCGCTGCGACACCGGAAGAAGCCAATCGCTGCGTGCGTGCATGCGCAGGCGCCTGCACCAGGACGCGGCTCCGCCCCTCAGCCTGACCCGGCTGCTGCAGTGTATCCCAGCGCGCCAGGCACCATGCGTCTGGAAGCCATCCGTTACTCGCCGGGCTCGCTGCAAATCCTCGACCAGCTGCAGCTGCCTGAGCACTGCCGCTACGAGGCACTGGGTTCGGTGCAGCAGGCCGGGGAGGCCATCCGCGCCATGAAGGTGCGCGGCGCCCCCGCCATCGCGCTGGTGGGCTGCCTCAGCCTGGCGGTGGAGCTGCGGGCGGGCGCCGGCGGTCCCGGGCTTGCCGCTCTGGTGGCCTTCGTGCAAGACCAGCTGCGCCTCCTCGTCGCCGCCAGACCCACCGCTGTCAACATGGCCCGTGCCGCCCGCGATCTGGCTCGCGTGGCAGCTCGGGAGGCGGAGCAGGAGGGTGCCACCGAGGAGACCTTGCGGGAAAGGTACGGGATCCTGGACCAGGCAGTGCAGCCGTGTCTCGTGTCCAGGGGCCCACTTGCAGGACTAAAAGTCCATCCCTGCGCTGTGTTCCCCAGGCCCTTGAACTCAGCCCCTTAGCAGCACCACACCAGCTTTATGACACCTGTTCTGCAAGGTTTTGCCATGAGGTTTTGTGTGCTCTGCCCTGCTTTCCTCTCTGCGGATCTCTTTCCTTCCCCACTTCCGGTCAAGCCACTTCTCAGTTTTCTGCCGAACCTGTCAGGTTCCTGCTCCCTCCTCTCCCCTTCTGTAGTAACACCTTGTCTGTCCCTAACACTGCCTTCTTGTCCTTCTTTTTACCAGTTAATTAACTGTCTCTCCCACCCTGATGTCATCACCGCAGAGGGCTTTGTTGTTTACTGCTGTGCCCTACCCCCAGCACCTGGCTTACATACAGAGATTTAGTGAGTAGAGTGGCAGGTGTGTCCCCAGAGAAGGTCCCAGGAGAGCCCCACAACTTTGAGGGTCGGGTAGCAGCTAGCCAGGTCCACTCCAACAGTGCTAAGAGCTCCTGTTGTCTCCAGAGTAATCAGCTTTGCTGAAGATATGTTGGAGAAGGACCTCAGAGATAACCGGAACATCGGGGACTTGGGAGCCCGCCACCTCCTGGAGCAGACCAGCCCCAGGGGTGGCAAGGTGACCGTGCTAACCCACTGTAACACTGGCGCTCTGGCCACTGCTGGCTATGGTACAGCCCTAGGTGAGGAGGCACCATCAATTGTTAGGGCATGGGAGGGTCTTTTTTGGGTACAAGGCAAAACACCTTGAGCTGGAGGTGTTGTTCAGTGGCAAGAGTGCATGCTCAGCTTGGGCTGGCTCGGCAGTTAATAGCTGTACTACTTTAGAAAAGAACCTGTTCAGTTCTCAGCACCCACACGGAACAGCTCATAACCACCTGCAACGCCAGCTGCAAGAGAACCCAGCACCCTCTTCTGGCCTCCACGGGCACCTGCACTCACATGCATATACACACACATAATTAAAAATGAGTTCTTTTAAAAGAGTATATGCTTAGCATGAACAAAGTCCAGGATTTAGTCCCCAGAACACAAAAGAAGGAACCCAAACTACTTCAGCCACAGAAATGTGAGTATTGGTTTTGTATTTTCAAATATTATTTTTGTGTGTATGAGTGTCTTTGCCTGCTTGTGTGTGTGTGCACATGTGCCTGGTGCCCAGGGGGGACAAAAGACAGTACTGGCTCCTCCAAAGCTGGAAGTACACACGGTTGTGAGCCACCGTGTGGGTGTTTGGAACCAAACCCAGGTCCTCGGTAAGAATAACAAGTGCTCTTAACCACTGGGCCATCTCTCCAGCCCAGGATATTAGGAGGTTGTTGTTGTGTTTTCCTGCCCCAAGTATATCTGTTCATGTACAGAGACACGTAGGAAGTCACTTGCAGGTAGGTATGGGTATATCAAGTCCAACTAGTGGTGTTAGGACCCTAGCCCCCATTTTGCCCGTGGATTGAAGTAATTCTGCTATCAGAGACCAGAAAGTTCCCTGGGTCACCTGCCTAGAGAAGGGGCATAGTGTTGACTCCCAGAGGACAGGGAGTAAGAAGGGAAAGCTGTGACCAGGAGATAGGGATCTGGGAGTCAAGGCAGCAGATTCCTCCTGGCCCTTGGTTGTCCAGGAAACTCTCCTGTCTGCCTAAACCCAGCACTGGATTTTGGGAACCCAGATCTTTAGAAGAAGGCTCATGTACCCCATTCATTGACTTAGCCAGCATTCACTAAACAACTACTGACTTCCAGGGAGTGAACTGTGGAAGACGCCAGGCATCTGCAGCCTTGAGTACAAAGGAATGACAGGGGACTTAGAATATGGGTCAGCAGTGTGGCACTGCTGAGAACCCTCCACTAAGAGCTGGGTGTGCGGGGCTGCTGTACGAGACTGAGGAATCTCGGGGTGTCAGAAAGTGGATGTAAAAATGATGTGAGCAGATGAGAACAGTGTGTCAGGCACAGGAAACAGCTGCAGAAAGGGCTGAGAGTATGCTGTGCTCTGCACTCGCCTCAGCATTTGCAGCCCTAGTCTCAGGGCCACGCTGCTTGTCCGCTGGGATACCCCACAGGTGTGATCCGCTCCCTGCACAAGATGGGCCGATTGGAGCATACCTTCTGCACAGAGACCCGGCCCTACAACCAGGGAGCCCGGCTGACGGCCTTCGAGTTGGTCTATGAGCAGATTCCTGCTACTCTCATCACTGACAGCATGGCAGCCGCTGCCATGGCCCACCAGGGTGTGTCAGGTCAGTGGGCTGGGCACAGTGGGCAGGTAGTGCAGTGGGCAACCAAAGCCAGGTACGTGACCTTCCCAACTCTCCCCCACCCCCAGCTGTGGTAGTCGGAGCTGACCGGGTCGTCGCCAACGGAGACACAGCCAACAAAATAGGCACGTACCAGCTGGCCATTGTCGCCAAGCACCACGGTATCCCCTTCTACGTGGCTGCCCCCAGCTCATCCTGTGACCTCCATCTGGAGACTGGCAGGGAGATTGTCATAGAGGAACGCCCTAGCCAGGAGCTGACTGACGTGAATGGAGTCAGAATTGCGGCCCAGGGTAAGGTGTGGGCTTGGCACTCAGGGTACTGTGCACTTCCGTGGCATGAGCTGCTTTGCTCATCCAAGCTCCTCAGCTGGATTCTGATGATGGAGGTTAAATTCAAAGTCAGACTTTGTAAATAGTGCTAGATGGCTAGAGATGGGGCTCAGTAGGTAGTGTTGGGATGGGGACCTGAGTTTAGTGCCCAGAACCTACTTTTTAAAAAGACAACTGTGAGCCGGGCGGCGGCGGCGGCGGCGCACGCCTTTAATCCCAGCACTTGGGAGGCAGAGGCAGGAGGATCCCTGTGAGCTCGAGGCCAGCCTGGTCTACAAAGCGAGTTCCAGGACAGGCGCAAAGCCACACAGAGAAACCCTGTCTCGGGAAAAAAAAAGAAAAAAAAAGAAAGCTGTGGTGGCACAGGTGTTTTTTTGTCTATTTGTTTGTTTTTGTTTTTAATTAATTAATTTATTTTTGGGGACAGAGTTTCTCTGTGTAGGTAGCCTTGACTGCATTGGAACTTGCTTTATAGACCAGGATGACCTTGAACTCAGAGCTAGCTGCCTGCCTCTGCCTCCCAAGTGCTGGGATTAAAGGCATGTGCCACCACCACCCAGCATGGCAGAGATTTAGAATCCCAGTGCTGGGGAGACAGAGAAGGCAGATCCCTGGAGCTTTCATCCAGACGAGTCTAGTCAGCCAGCCTCAGGTTCAGTGAGAGACTGTCTCAAAAACTAAGCTGGTTCCTGAGGAACCACAACTGAGGTGGACCATTAGCCTCTATATGCAAGAGCACATGGACACACATAAAGAATAGTGCTAGGTGTGGTGGTGCAGCCTGTAATCCCAGCACTCCAGTAGCCCAGGCAGGAGAGCCCCACAAGTTCAAGACCAGGTGGTACAAGTGAACCTCAGGCTAATGTGGACTGCCAAGTGAGACACTGTCTGAAACACCAAAAACAATCAGAAAAGCGTGAAACTGACCAGGCTGCCTGGACAGAGGTCTATACAGACAGCCAGGCATGGTGGTACATACCTGCACTCCAGCACTGCAGAGGCTGAGGCAGGAGGGCAGCTAAGAGTTCAGGATCGTCTTGGCCCACATAGTGAGACCTCATCTCAAAAATCAGGAAGACCCAGGCAGTGGTAGCAAACACCTTTGATCCCAGCACTCGGGAGACAGAGGCAGGCAGATCCCTGTGAGTTCGAGGCCAGCCTGGTCTACAGAGTGAGATCCAGGACAACCAGGACTTTACCCAGAGAAACCTTGTCTCGAAGGAAAGAAAGATCAGAAAGCTGGGGCCCTAGTGGCTGCTCATGAGGCCATGACAAGATCACCAGTTCAAGGCTAGCCTAGTCAACATAAACTCTGTCTCAAAATAAACATTTTAAAAGGGGCCAAGGATATAGCTCAGATATGGAGCATTTGCCAGAATGTACAAGAGGCCTGAGATTCAACACCTAATACTACATAAAAAAAAATTTTCGGGTTGGGGATTTAGCTCAGTGATAGAGCGCTTGCCTAGCAAGCGCAAGGCCCTGGGTTCCATCTTCAGCTCAAAAAAGAAAATTTTTTTTTCACATTAAAAGTAGTCAAAATACATTGTCTTAAAGATTAAACAAGATATTTTCAAATAATTTGCTGGTCTTAGTGGTGCTCATCTGGTGAACCTGGGAGGTAGAGGCAGGAAGACAAGGACTTCAAAACCAGCTTTGGCTACATAGAAAATTTGAGTCCAGCCCAAGCTACATATATGACCCTGTGTTAGAAAAGTAATTACATTTTTAAAATTGATTTTCAAAACATCTGTGAAGGGCTCCGCCCCATCCTCAGAACAGATGTTTTGAGCACACTCACATTGGAGCCAGTGCAAAAGCCCTGGGGTAGATTCTGGAATTCTATAAATCTTGGATCAGGTAAGAATGGGGTCCATAAGGCTAAGACTGAGGCCTTCTTGAGCAGCAGGAGCTATGGCTATGTTCCTAGCCTCAGTGCCCGCACCTTTACGAATGATTTGGTATGTGTAGACCCCTGGATTCTCAAGGACTCACTAACCCCAAGAATTGCTGTGGTGAGGACAAATGACACCAGCCAGGGAGTTCCCAGAGCCAAAGCCCCACCTCATGTGCCCTCTCTCCCTGCAGGAATCCGGGTTTGGAATCCTGCCTTTGATGTCACCCCCCACGAACTCATCACCGGTGGCATCATCACTGAGCTGGGTGTCTTTGCCCCTGAGGAGCTCCGAGCAGCCCTAAGTGCCTCCATCTTAGAGGGACAGACCCTAGATAGTCCCCAGATGTGACTAGCAGGCTCTCCCCAACCTGCTCTGGTTCCTCTGGTTTTATAATAAAGTTCTCAAATGGCTACCCAAAAGCTCATCCTCACCCATACCCCCTCTTCCAGCTGCTGAAGCAGACTGGATTTACCAGGCTCTGCAGAGTCCCAGCATCTACAACAAAGCTGCCCAAGTTCACATTCCAGCTCCTCCTGTGTATGACCATGCATGGGGTACAAAACCAAGTGTGGGGATACATACCTGTAATCCCAGCTCCTGGGAGGCTTTCTTTGGGTTTTAGGCTACCCTGGGCTACAGATTGAAAAAAACAAACAGGAACATAGGGATAATGAGGATGGTCTTAGCTGCCTTTGAAGTATTTGGGCTTTTTTCAAGACAGGATTTTTTTTTTTTTATGTTTTATAAAATCTTTATTGACAAATAATTCACATAGTATACAATTTGTCTGTTTGTACAATTTGATAGACTTTAGTCCAGCATCCTCATAGGCCCATGACACCATCACCACTTTCTATTTTAGAACATCGCTATCTTCAATTTCATACACACATATAATGTATGGTAATTACATTCCATCTAATCTTTTTAAATGAACATAATATCTGCAATTGTAACCATTTTTTTAAGTTCACATTTCAGTGGCATGAATTACATTCAAGATATTAATTACATTTGTGGTATTCATTAATTATATTAATTGTATTGATTAATTACATTCATGATATTATGTCCTGATACTACTGTCCATTTATGGGCTTTTCCATCACACAAAACAGAAACTTAGGAATCATTGCTCTATATTCCTTTCTTCTCCAGCTTGAGATAATGTCTAATCTTTCTGTCTATGAATTTGTATATTCTATATATTTCATGTAATAGAAATCTACAGTATTTAAGACAGGATTATCTAAGTAGCCCTCACTGTTCTGGAACTTTCAGCCCCGGCTGGCCTTGAACTCACAGAGATCTACTTGTCTCTGCCTCCTGAGTCCAGGATTAAAGGTGTGCACCACCACCACCCAGCTATTAATTTTTATTTTATGTATCAGTGCTTTACATGCAAGTGCCTGGTGCCCTCTGAAGCCAGAAAAGGACACTGGATCCCCTGGAACTGGAGTTATTGATGGTTGTGAGCTGCCACGTGGGTGCTGGGAACAAAACCCAGGTCCTCTCTGCAAGAGCAGCAAGTCCTCTAGAAGAGGACACCAAAGTTCATGAATCAAGATAAATGGTTTTGGGTTTTTTTTTTTTTTTTTTTTTTTTTTTTTTTTTTTGGTTTTTAGAGACAGGGTTTCTCTGTGTAGTTTTGGTGCCTGTCCTGGATCTCGCTCTGTAGACCAGGCTGGCCTTGAACTCACAAAGATCCGCCTGGCTCTGCCTCCCAAGTGCTGGGATCAAAGGCGTGCGCCACCACCGCCCAGCCAATGTTTGTTTTTTTTAAGACAGAGTCTCTATGTATCTCTGGCTGGCCTGGAACCTGTTATGTGGACCCGGCTGGTCTGGAACTCACAGAGACTCACCTGCCTCTGCTTCCTGAACAAAGAGTAAAGGTGTGATCCACCACAGCCTGCTTTGCTTTTTTTTGAGAGTCCCTGAAGCTGGAACTCAACAATTAGGCTAGGCTGCAGGGACCCTCCTGTCTCCAGTCCCCTCAGCACTGGGATCACAGGTATGTGTTGCACAAATCCTAATTGGTCTTAATAAAAACCCAGAGCCAGGTATCAGGGTGAAAGCTGAAAGATCAGAGAAGCAGAGCAAACCACAGCCATCACCTCTCAACTCACCAACTCCTCAGCCTGGAAGAGAGCGAGTTCCTGTCTCCTCCTGCCTTATGTTCCCTTCTCTGCCCAGCCATATCACTTCCTGTCTCAACCTCCCTAGTGCTGGCGTTAAAGGTGTGTGATCCCTTAAAGGTGTGTGCCACCACTGCCTGACCTCTATGGCTACTGTGGTTAGCTCTGTCCTCTGACCTTCAGGCAAGCCTTATTTCCTAGATTACAAACAATGTATCACCACAGGTATGTGCACCATCACTCACTGGGGATGGAGCTCAAGTCCTCACACATGGACAGTAAACACTTTACCCACTGAGTAATGTTCCCAGCCACCAGGTGCATATTTTAAATCTTTAATATAGAAAAGAAGCCGTGGTGGCAGTGGCGCACGCCTTTAATCCCAGCACTCGGGAGGCAGAGGCAGGCAGATCTCTGTGAGTTCAAGGCCAGCCTGGTCTACAGAGCAAAATCCAGGACAGGTACCAGAACTACACAGAGAAACCCTGTTTCAAAAAACCAAAAAAAGGGGCAGGGTGGTGGTGGCGCACGCCTTTAATCCCAGCACTCGGGAGGCAGAGGCAGGCGGATCTCTGTGAGTTCGAGGCCAGCCTGGGCTACCAAGTGAGTTCCAGGAAAGGCGCAAAGCTACACAGAGAAACCCTGTCTCGAAAAACCAAAAAAAAAAAAAAAAAAAAAAACCAAAAAAAGAAAAACAAGTAAAAGAATAAAGCTGATGCTGTGACTGTTTTTGTGCTGTACGTGTGACGCTGAATGCCACCCCAGCACAGCTGCAAAATTAAGTGTCATGGTAACCTAAGGGTTTTTTAGTGGCGTGTTGATTTACTTATTATGTGTGTGAATGGTTAAAAAACAATCTGCAGGCGCCAGTCCTCTGAGTGCTGAGATGAACCGAATGCGCCACCACCCAAGATTGCACACTAGTTAGGAGGCATGGCGGCAAGCACCGTTACCTCAGGGCCATCTCACCAATGACTACTTCAGGGTTTTGGCACTCCCTTATTTTCCACCAAAAATGAGTTCCTTGCTTGCCTCACCTCAAGCCTAATTTTGAACTTTTATGTATAAAAAGCACAACCCACCATGTTTTATAATACACAAGTGACCTGCCCCTGTAAATGGTAACGAAATTTTCCTTCGAATTTTTTGGACAGCAGTTCCTGTAAGTGTGCGGCTCTGGGTCCCCTGAGGCCTTCGGTCCCGCTGTCGCCGGTGACGCCACGCGACTTCCGGCTCTCCTGCAGCGGCCCCGCCTCTTCCGGCTTGTGGTGAAACATGGCGCAGGGACAGCGCAAGTTCCAGGCACAGAAACCTAAAAGCAAGGCGGCAGCTGCGGCGGAGCGGAGCCGAGGGCCGAGGAAAGGCGGTGAGGAACGGGGTGGAGGAGGGCGAGAGGGCGGCGGAACTCGGGGAGGGCGGCCCAGGCTCACAGGCTGGTGTCGCTCCGCAGGTCGAGTCATCGCTCCCAAGAAGGCGCGCGTCGTGCAGCAGCAAAAGCTGAAGAAGGTGAGGGGAGCGCAGCGGTGGGTGACGCGGGATCAAGCGGGCCGGCTGGACTCCCAGCGCCGCGTCTGTGCCCCCCCCGTTCGATGGATCCAGGGGTTCTGATGTGTGTCAGGGCCCGTCAGCAAATCGCTTCGGGTTTTTTGTTTATTGTTTATGTGCATTAGTGTTTTACCTGTGTCTGTATGTGTGCGTGCATCAAGTGTGTGCCTAGTACCCGAAGAGGTCAGAAGAGGATGTCCAGTCCCGTAGAACTAAAATTCCTGACGATTTTGAGCCATCATGCATGTGCTGGGAACTGAACCTTGGTCTTCAGGGGTCACAAGTGCTGAAGCCGGCTTGGTAGCGCACGCCTTTGATCCTAGCGCTCTGGGAGCAGAAGCAGGCTGATGTCTGAGTTCCAGGCCAGTCTAGTCTATGTGTTTTAATTATATGTATGTGTGTGGGTATGTGCCCATGCCCACAGAGGCCAGAAGGAGAAGCACTTCCACCAGGATCTCGATTCAGTTTCCAGCACCCACATGGCAGCTCACAACCATCTGTAACTCAGCCCCAGGGGATCTCCAGTGCTGTCCAGGCACTGCATGCATGTGGTACACAGACATACGTGTGAGCAAAACACTCTTGTACACATAAATAAGAAATTAATTAGGAAAATTAGAGGCTCCAATCTGGTTTAGATCTTGAGTAGATCATTTGTCTCCCCAGAGCTCCCCTAGGTAGGTTACCCAGCAGCCTGCTCTGCTCTGTGAGGTATCTACTCTCAGGTCCTTAAGTGAAATCCTTCCACGGTCTACCATGGGACCACTTTGCCTTTTGCCTTCCCAGGTTCAGAGGTCATCCTTGAACTCCACTCTTACCCAGTCTGGTCCCTTTAGCATACATCCAGAATCCACCTACTTCTGCCCCATCACCTCCAAGGTTGGATCCTAGCCAACTCTATCCTCTCTCTGCCGTAGCCGCTGAGGCATCTGCCTGTGCTCAAAACTGGTTCCCCCTCTGCCCAGAACCTTCCATGGCTGCTTCCTGCCCGGGTCCTTCACCTCTCCATCCTTTTGTCTGTCCCTCTGGCCTTACTGGCCCTTTAAGGATTCTTTGTCCCGCTGCTAGACATGAGCAGAGCACCCAGGCCTGGTGGTAAGTCAAGGAAAGGGGAGCTTGAATCTGAAGCCGCTCTCAAAAGGAAGTGTGTGTCTGTGTCTGTGTCTGTCTGTCTGTCCAGGCTGGGGAGAGTGAGGGCTGCTCTGTGTCCCCCACAGAGCCTGGAAGTGGGGATCCGGAAGAAGATTGAGCATGACGTGGTGATGAAGGCTAACTCCAGCCTGCCTAAGAAGCTCGCACTGCTCAAGGGGGCGTCAAAGAAGACAGGGGCCACTGCCCCCAGCAAGACACCATCCTAAAGACCCTGGGACTTGGCAGGTGACCCCACAGGCTGGCCAGACTTGAAGAGGACCCTGCTCCAGTCAGTCCTGATGACACCTGGGACAGCAATTGGCAGGTGACCATAAAGCCTGAAGCCAGCTCCCTGGGTACTAAAGAGGCAATCGGCTTCCTGTGGGCTCAGGGCCTGTCTGTACTGGGGTGACACATTGTGATGAACCTGGCTCTGTTATCCCTCCAGCCCTCAAGCAGTCTGATGGGAAGCTGTTTAGGGGCTAGGTGAGCCTCACTGGTCTCCATAAGAAACTTCTCCTATCTACGCAGTGCCCTTGACAGCCACAGACCCGAGAAATGGCAGTGACATCTGTACCTGAAGCTGGCAGCTGGGGATAGTTTCTTCCCTGGGTCCTGGGTTGCCCCAGCCCCCCCAGGTCACCCCCTGCAGTCATCTAGTGTTAGTTGTCTTATACATGAAGAAGGGTTCCATATCTTCAGTGAGGTACCACCTCACCCCGTCAGACTAGTGATCCAGAGCCACTTGGGGACGCTCCAGTGTAACCCAATAAAGCTGTGCTCACAGAGGCCACATGCCATTCTTGTGCTTTCCCGCTCCATTCCTACCCCTTGGCTTGTCGAGCTAGCCTGCTGACACTCCAGAACAAGGACTTGGCCAGCTCAGCTACCCTCATCCATAGCACAGCTCTGCTTCTGTCTCCACTGAGGGGCTCACACCCCTGGTAGTCACTCAGACCTGCTGGACCAGATGTTGATCATGTCATATGCAGGGTGCTTGACGTGGTGGCATCTCCCTTGGTGTGGCCCTGGGACAAGTGATGAGTATGCTGGTGGCCTATCCCTTTTTGCCCAGCCATTTCACTCACTGAGGAGGCAGAAAAGTGTCAGGTTACCAGTGACTGCCCCCAGCCCTGACTGGGTGAATTTGTTCCCGAACAGTCGGAATTTGGTCAGAATTTAGTGTTGAGACTAATGCACCCAGGCTGGCTTCTGGCTGGCCGTGGCCGCTAGGGATGAGATCCACTTCGTGTGTGCTTAGCCAGCACTCTGGGTCACACCCTAGCTCCCAGTGCACTTGCAAGGGGAGGAAGGAGCTACTGGGCTGTAGTCCTGCCAGGACACGGTTGCTCTGCTGTGAGCATGGAGGGCACCTTTAGAGGCTGTCACTCACTTCAAGGCTGGACCTTGAAGGGGTTGTTAGTGCCTCTGGCTTGTGATGAGGCAGTGTCTGGACATGCAGCTCCCCACCACACCTACCTTCTGGTACCTCACCACAAATCCCGAGGCATGGCTCCACTTCATTGTGAATACAACCAGTGGCCTGCCTCAGGTTTAGCTTGGTTTTCTGAGACAGGGTCTCCCTGTATAACCCTAGCTGACTTAGAACTCACTGCGTAGACCAGGCTGGTCTCCAACTCAGAGCTATACTGGCTTCTACTTTCCAAGTTCTGAGATTAAAATGCCCAAGGGCCAAGGACATAGGTTTTTTTGTTTGTTTGTTTGTTTGGTTGGTTGGTTGGTTGGTTGGGTTTTTGTTGTTGTTGTTTTGGTTTTTGGTTTTTCGAGACAGGGTTTCTCTGTGTAGCTTTGGAGCCTGTCCTGGAACTCTGTAGCCCAGGCTGGCCTCAAACTCACAGAGATCCACCTGCCTCTGCCTCCCGAGTGCTGGGATTAAAGGCGTGCACCACCACCGCATGCGTTATTTTTTGTGTGTATATATGTACCTGATGAGGCCAGAGGCAGCCCATCCTCCAGAGTTGGAATCAAAGGCAGCTGTGAGCCACCCTACGTGGTAAGAGCAGTGGAAGCTGTTAGCTGCTGAGCCTGCTCTAGCTCTATCACGTGTGTTCTGTGGTAGAAAGACTAGGATGGCTGGGCACATGCCTTTAATCCCGGTACTCCAGGTAGGGGCAGTTAGGGCTCTGAGTTCAAGACCAGTCTGGTGGGGGGCAAGGGTTGTCAGCTTACCTGGACTAGTGGGCATCACTCTTTGTATCTAGCTGACATTTGCAGAGGAATGATGCCAGAGGCTGGCTGAATGATGACCACCCTGAGCTGCACCATGGAAGCCAGGGGGGGTGGATGGAAGACCCTGTCCCAGTATGTGAATCCCCCTGAGGTGCCTGCCACCACCAAGCGCTAGTCTAACCCTCCCACATGCACCAGACAGCAGCAGCACTCCAGAGAGCTTCCAGCCCCTCAGCGGCGCCTCCTGGTGACTTGAGCAGCTGCTGAGTTTTCAGACTCTGGCGTGGAGGTGGCCACTATATGACTATTCAGCTGCTGTCATGTAAGCTAATCCAGTAAATGCACCTTCGTATTACATTCTGTTGGTTCTCCAAAGCACTCTGCAAAACAAACATTCACATGGGTGCTTGTATCAGTGTTGATAGAATGCTTTGCATTAGCACAGAGGCAGAAACAACTTGCATTTGCATTAACTGGACTGGGTGAGAATCTGCTCCAGCCACAGTGGAATATTATTCAGCCATTAAAATGGAATGAGGGGCTAGAAAAATATCTCAGTGGGTAAAAATTTGCCACCAGGTTTGACCACCTGAGTTCAGTTCCCAGAGCCCACATCGGGAGAAGAAAACCAACTTAAATAAGTTGTCTTCTGATCTCCACACCTGCAACAGGACGTGCACATGCTCACACAGTCACATCGTACATAAGTGCACATGCTCACACAGTCAAATTGTACATAAGTGCACATGCTCACATAGTCACATCGTACATAAGTGCACATGCTCACACAGTCACATTGTATATAAGTGTAAGAGTGAAATGAAAGTTTGGGAAGGTGGCTCAGTTCAGAGGTGAAGAGTACTTGCTGCTCTGGCAGAGGACCCAGGTTCAGCCTCCAGTACCCACAGCAGCTCACAATGCCTGCAATTCAGTTCCAGGGGCTCCAGTGCCCTCCTCTTTCCTCCATGGACACTCCATGCAAATGGTGTGCTTACATGCATGAAAACATTAAAAGTACTTTAAATGTGCCAGTTGTGGTGGTACATGCCTTTGATCCCAGCACTCCGAAGGCAGAGCTTGGTGGATTTCATGAGTCCAAAGCCAGCCAGAGACAAGTACAACTGCAGTATAGATGAGCCTGGAAACACAATGCTGATGCTGGGCATCATACACACCTATAAACCCAGCACCCAGTGAAGTAAGGAAAACCAAGAATATTAAGATCATCCCCCATATTTCAAGGCTAACCTGAGATACTTGAGACCCTGCCAAGAAAAAATTAAAAATGCCCTGGTGGTGCAGGCCTTTAATCCCAGAGCTCAGGAGGCAGAAGCAGGGAGGTCTCTGAGGCTCCCTCGTAACAAACCAGGTACGGAAAGATAAATAGGTATAGTTCTGTGAGAGGGCAGAGCAAGCAGATGCTGAGCAGGAGAAGAGGGGCATGGTGTCAGGTAAACACTGGGTTTCCTCCTGGCCTGAAAGTTCTGGAACTAAATAGAGGTGAGCATTTTATCATATCGGGAATGTGCTGACTGGCAAAAAAAATTACACACACACACACAAATATATATATTTATGATAGGTGAACTTAAAAAGATAGGCTCACTTCTCACTGGTTTGATGTCTGACATCAACAGCTCCTCTGGAGTACCCATGAAGACTTCAGGCCACCTCATTTTCACCTAGAAAGACTGGCGAACCAGGGACTTACAGTATGCCCATGACTAAGCAAGACTATAGGCTTCATTCAATTGAACTAAAACATTTGTGGAATGGGTAATTTGGAACCATCCACACAGTTAAGCAAGATCATACTGGCTCTTTGGACACACACATTTTTAACACACCCCCCCCCTCCAAAAAATGTAGCTATAAATGGTAATGGGCACCTGTAAACCCTGCACTTAGAAAGGTGAGTCAGGGGGATCGCCAGCAGTGTGAGGTTTGGCAGGTCAGCCCGGGCTATAGAGTTAACAACTGTCCAAAAGCCAAGAGCTAAAGTATCAGTGGTAGAGAGCTTGCCTGCCTCTAGCAAGGCCCTCAGCACCATCCCCAGCACCACGAAAAGGAAAGAAGTGTGAGGGATGGTCACCAAGAAAAACTAGAGCTAGGAGAGCTGGGCCAGCATTCCAGGGACTGCAGTCTGCTTCTGGGGCTCTTGTGCACCAGGAAGACTGAACAGAGGAGAGACCTAGACTCACTGGGAATGGAGTCTAGGAATCCATACTGGTCAGCCTCTTTCCTCCCCTGTTCCTAAGGGGCTGCTCTCTGTAACCCCAGAGCCACACCTCTCCCAACTTGGGAATCAAGGCTCTCAGCCACCTGTGACCACCTCAGTGAATAGTATCTTTCCCTTAAGGTGGGACTCCTTAGCCCAGACCACATTCTTCATGCTTCTCAAGCTGCCTAACTGTTCTTCTAAAGAAACAACTGGGGCCGGGCAGTGGTGGTGCACACCTTTAATCCCAGCACGTGAGAGGCAGGGGCAGGAGGATCTCTGTGAGTTCGAGGCCAGCCTGGTCTACAGAGCGAGATCCAGGACAAGGCTCCAAAGCTACACAGAGGAAAAAACCTGTCTCAAAAAGCCAAGGAGTGGGGGGGAGGGGAACAACTCGGGCCCCCGCAAGGTGGCTCAGCAGGTAAAGGGGCTTGATCCCCAGACCCGCATGGTGGGAGGAGAGAGCTGATTCCCACCGGCTGCTCTCTGACCTCCACACACACGCCGTGGCGCTTGTGCACATACAAAAGTAACTGTCTTGTTGTTTTGTTTAGGAAAAGAATTTGTGTAAGAGATGGACTCCGCATACTGTGTTGGATCTTGCTAATGTTTCCTTTAGTTCTTTTATCTTCTGACTCTCGAAACCAACTGGCACTTACTTAGGAAAGACGTCTCAGTCCCACTACAAGTGTGCTATAATGACCCAGTGTCTTACGGAGAGCAGAAATCGGAACATCACCCAGCCCCAGCCCCCTGCACTCTTCCCTGCCTTGCCCTCCCACCTGCCATCTCATCCCTGCACTCTTTCTCAGATGCCACCTCCGTCTGTGATCAGTCATCCCTGGCCCTAGCAGGGCCATTTGATCACCACTCTTGTGGGATTTAAGGGGGTTCTTCATTTTATTTGAGGCAGGGCAGGATTTCTCTGTGTAGCTCTAGCTGGCCTAGAACTCACTAACTCACAAGAACTCCACCTGCTTCTGCCTCCCAAGTGCTGAGATTTAAAAGATTAAAGTGCCGGGCTGCCCCCAAGCCTGGTTTCTGTTCGGCTTGGTGCTGGGGATGAAGCCTGGGGCTTCCCTAAGCAAGCTCTGCTGGGAGCTAGCCCTCAGCCCTGCTTGCCTCCGCTGCTTTCCTGTGTGCTTGCTGCTGTTTTGTCCAGGTCTTTCCCGGTTTAGACCTGCACCCAGAGGGTGGCCTGTGGGCTGGTGTGTGCAGAAGGGACGAAGCGGGGAGGGAGGGAGGATCTCCTGCCAAGAGAGAAAGTCCAGTGTTTGGGGAGCTGCTCTGCCCTCTCAGGCGCTGCCACAGCCCCGTGAACTTGCTGAACAGCCCCAAACTGTGAGCTCCAGCAGGTGGACCAGTGCTGCCTAGGGAGCCATGCC